GAAAATCAATTACATTCTTAAAAACGGTGTCAATTTTCTATCGCAATATGTATTTATGTTTTAGTTTACACTTTTACATTATCAAAATAATTTGTGTTTGGTGAACATATCCTAAATTGATGAGTAGCAAAAGTCGTTACTTTTTCTTCTTCTTTTTTCAAAATAGAATTACTATAGTCGATGTGTAGGATATAAGAAAATTGCACGTTCTATGCGAATTTATAGTTACTTTTTAAATTTATTGTCATAGTAATTATGTTTTGATAAAAGAAGAAAAAGTAACATTTGTTGATACTTGTAAAATTAGGGTGCGTTCACTATTAACTATATGAAACGATAGAGAATTTTAAATTTCATCAAAAAGATAAATCTATAATGATGAGCAGCTTTAACAACTAACTTTGATGATAGTGACAAAATGAGGTTCATGATAATTTGATGATGAGAATACTTTCATTATAATAGATTTATTTTGATAGTGCGTGGATCTAAGGTAAGACATGAGTATATATTGTGATAGAAAATTGAACACATTTTCACAACATATAATTCATTTCTTTTAATGTATTTTGTGTTATGATGATACATTGAACATACGAATTGCAACTATTTATTTAGATTTTTTCCTATGATATCAAGCATTGAACTCAAATCTAAATCGTAATTCAAATAGCCTATGAAGTTCTATATCAAAGTCATCTCGTACCGAAATTTCACATCTGTAAAATATGCGAACACCTACGAACACCTTGAAAGGAAAGATAGCTTAAACCTATTTATATAGGCAAATAGAACTCGATGAGTTGTGGTCACGAACACCTGCGAACACTTACTTTGAATGGGCCCGAAAATCGATTCGAAGGATACAAGTCAAATTTTTTCTGCGAACACCTCTTAAACATGCTTGAAAATCTACGAACACCAGTCCAATGAAAATAAACACTCACTTTAACTAATCTTGACGCAAAACTTGTACCACTCTATCGAAAGTATATCTATATATGGGGTATTCCATGGGATCTCTCCAGCGTTTACATCGAGTATCCCCAAATTCAATGAAACTTTCAGGATTTGTAGATCATAGTGAGATATGAAAAACGTACAGACTAGTTTTTTAAAATTCATTAATAAATAGAAGAATGCCGTACACAACATTTTCATATTTTTGTATAAAATCACAAAACTAGGATTTTGTGAAAAAATATCTTTTCTAAGATTGATTCGAATTGAACACATAAATTCAAATCATATTAACATATTATACATATTCTGGAAGCTCTTGATCTTGGCTACATTTTGGCTATAAAATATTGTGATTTTGTCGGGACTTTCGCGATGTTGTCCTATGTGTATGAGGACACACTCTTGCGCATTTTGTTACTAAAAAATGTTCGTAAAACCTGAATTACAGAGAGTAGCCCTATAGGGGATTTTGTAGAGAATCAACTGCTCTACAAGATGCACTTAGCCCGAACTCTCGCATTTTCTATTTGACAAAATCTAAAAACACAGGAAGACGAAAAATCCCCTGCTTTTGACAACTTTAAAGAAAAGTATATCCATAGAGCCCAACACATTCTCAACAAAAGTTTACCGATTTCGATGAAACTTTCAGTGTTTGTAGAGCTTTTAATTCTGAACATTTTGATAAAAAAATGTTTGTGAAAAGGTATCATATTAATGAAGATGATAGGGACATCATGTGAAACCATATAAAACTACTAAAGATTCGACCAAATTTAGCTGTTTTCATTACAATAATTGCATCAGAGAGCAAAACAAATAGCATATTCGGAATCAGCACAAAAATTTACATCGACCCACATAATTTCTAAAAAAAATTTTTTCTCGTCGAAAAACGGCTGTATCCCCCCTCAGGCCATTTTCCTATACAAATATTTGTCTGTGGTCCCCTAGGGGTGAATTTTGCAAAAAAAATTTTTTTTTTGGAAATTACGTGGGTCGATGTAATTTTTTGCGCTGATGCCGAATATGCTATTTGTTTTGCTCTACGATGCAATTATTGTGATGAAAACAGCTAGATTTGGTCGAATCTTTAGTAGCTTTACATGGTTTCACATGAGTCCCTACCATCTCCATTAATATGATATCTTTTCACAAACATATTTTTATCAAAATGTTCAGAATCGAAAGCTCTACAAACGCTGAAAGTTTCATCGAAATCGGTAAACTTTTGTTGAGAATGTGGTGGACTCTATGGATATACTTTTCTTTAAAATACTCAAAAAAAAGGGATTTTTCGTCTTTCTGTGTTTCCCATTTTGTCAAATAGAAAATGCGAGAGCTCGGGTTAGGTGCATCTTGTAGAGCAGTTAATTCTCTACAAAATCCCCTATAGGGCTACTCTGTGTAATTCAACTTTTACGAACATTTTTTAGTGACAAAATGCACAAGAGTGTGTCCTCATGCATATAGTGTGGCATCCCAAAGGTCCCGACAAAACCACAATATTTTATAGTCAAAATGTAGCCCAGAGCAGGAGCTTTCAGAATGTGTGTAATATGTTAATATAATTTGAATTTATGTGTTCAGTCCGAATCAATCTTAGAAAAGATGATTTTTCACAAAATCCTAGTTTTATGATTTTATACAAAAATATGAAAATGTTATGCACGGCATTCTTCTATTTATTAATGAATTTTAAAAAACTAGTTCGTACGTTTTTCATATCTCATTATGATCTACAAATCCTGAAAATTTCATTGAATTTGGAGATACTTGTGTATTTTGCTGGAGAGATACCATGGAATACCCCATATATATATCTACTAATATTTGTTTAACCGCACTGTGACATATATAATCGTCTACGAACACCAAGAAAGTGATTCAGAAAATCTGCGAACATCAGTTATTTGAACAGATCTCACTTGAATATACATTGTACAAGCTTTTTACGCTGTTCCTGTGAAGTAAAATATATTAAAAATATGACCAAAATGAAATAGCTTCTTTTTAATTTTTTAAAGGTAATGCTTGTGATTTATTTATTTTTTCAAGTTTTTACAGAAGTGGTGCGGCTTCTTCGTTGACCCAGCTTTTTCCCAGCCTGATGAGGAACATTGAAGACAGTTGTAATTGGTTGTGATTTAGGAATAAACGAATAGTAGTTATTAATAACTATATTGCGCTCTTGAATTCTTTTAAGTGACCATATACGAGGATCATGTAGGAACCTATAAAAAAGAACACTAAGTAGGACATGTTATTGGTGATCAGTACTTCTCACCTGGTATAAGAAGGAACCAACTCTCAATCACCAGCATCATACAAAAATCGAATTAAATCACTCGTTTATGTTATTATCACCTTATCCATAATGTCAATAACGTCGGATAAAGATTTTATTTCCCAATTGGTCCCAATTTTTAATACGTGATTCATCGCTTCCACATCACTATTATAGTAAAGGTGTGGATTACCATTCATATCCACGTAGTTTATTGGCAAACGTACTGATGCCAACATATGATGATGAAAAACATTCGATTGATATTGTTCGAACCAATCAAAAAAATTACTCGATGGGTTTTCACCAGAGTTGTCTCCATTTCTGATGCCATCGGACATCTCTCTTAAAATATCTATACGTTCTTCAAATTCTTTTTCGGTTTTCGACTGGACGAGAGCTTCAGGTGAGTCGAAAATAAACTGCAGCAATGCACGGCGTTGATCTATTGTTGCACGTGGCTTGATCAAGTAACGCTCAATGTTTTTATGCACATGACATGTGCAAACAAGATGTACTGAGTTCAGAAAAATAAGGAACATCACACTTATTATTGAATTCGCTCCATCACTACCGAGAGCTTTTGGTACAAATTCGTTCAATTCGCGGCGAAGAAACTCCAGTAACTCCTGATAGGATTGGGAATTCTCACGATAATGTATCATTGTGGGATCTAATGTAATAACAGTATTTTTAGTTTTACGATTTTGAAGTGTTTGATTTCGAAACGTGGTTGGTGTATCGAAAAATTTTCCGAGATTGAAAGTTGTATCGACACTTAACAAAAAGAAACCTAATTCGCTGAATTTTATGATGGTTATACATACATAAGATTGATGGTGTTGTTTCAGATGATGTGTTGATGCAATAACGTTTGATCTCTTGGATAAGATGGTCTTGAGATAAAATAATAATTGGAGCGTCGCTTTTACTCATAGAAAATCGAGAAACTATTGAATTCTGATTTTCTAAACGTTTCATCACGGCTATGTACTCTTCAACAGTTGCATTATGCGTATTTTGAGCATTATATATCTGAGTTTTGCTGCGTATTGTAGATAGAATTGGGCTCGATGATTGCGCAATGTCGATGATTTCGTTTGTATAAATTGTGGACGGTTTTATAGACTTAGAATAGGACTAAATTATTCATATAAAACATAGTGCAATCGAGAATGCGTGTCGTCCACAACAAGACAAAGAGACAAAACGCTGAATCGAAGGGTGTGGGTATGGTGTGAGTGTACTGTGAGTGTGGGTTTGGATGTGAATCTTCTTTCAGAAAATACCCACACCCACCCTCAAGTGCAATAGAAAATTATTTAGAAATAACTGGGAGATCGAGTTTAGTAATCAATGAACAGCTATAATTATTGATACAAAATTATTCTCACTCTAAAACTTAAGAAAACATGAACATGTATCATTTTGTGTGATTTTTACAGTTTTGTTTCAAATCAACCAATCATGAACTTTGAATTTGAAAATGATTTATTTTTTTCAGTAGTTTACTTACCAATGTTCTAATTCGGGACAATTTTTCCACGAGCATTAGTATTTCAAATTATTGCTGATAACTGGAATATTTTTGGTCTTTTTACAAAAACTCTTGCACAAATCGAATCACTTAATTTGAGTTATATCAGATTTTATTCACTTGAGATATTGAAAGATCGAAAAGTCAGTCCGAATATATTAAAATAAAAAGAGATATGATTCTTTCATAGATAATATTTATTTATTTATTTATCTATTTTTTACAAGCACTTTTATCAATTGTAAACATTTGAATTCTATGGTCCATCTCATCACAAATCCATAAATTTCCGTTTTTATCAAATAATGCTTGAGTTGGTCTCATTAATTGATCTTTTCCATGACCATCTTCCTCTCCTTCTCCAATCAAAACAATACCTGATTTACTATTTTTCAACCATCGCATAATTCTATTATTATCATAATCAACTACATAGAGATTATCTGATTGATCAATAATCACTGACATTGGTTGATAAAATTGATCAAGATTATGTCCTGGACCATTTCCACCAGCTCTAATAATACCTTGTTTATCACCAATAATCCATTCTACAATTCGATTATTTCCTCCATCTGCTATAAATATCGATTTATTATTCTTAATAAAGAAATGATTTGGATATGATAATTGATTTAATTGGCTTCCTTCACTATTTCCACCTGCAATAATTTCATTTTCGGGCCATTTTACTATTTTATGGCCACCTACGTCAGAATAGTATAGTGAATCTTGATTATCAATGTATATTCCAGTACATGTTATATTAGATATAATTGTTTCTCCCTCTCGAGCATTTTTTTCCCATTTTTGTAAACGATGGTTACCATTATCACAGATAAACATGGTACCATTTTTAGCAATCGTTAAACTATTGGGATAACGAAATTGATCACTTCGATTACCTAAATCATTTCCACCAGCTACTATTTTACCAACTGAAGATCCATAATGCCATTTAATAATTCGGTGATTAAATGAATCTGCAATATAAAGATTTGAATCATCATCTAAAACTATTCCAAATGGATATTGAAGTTGATTTAATTCAGATCCAGCTTTATTTCCTCCAGCCACTGTTGTACCATTTGTATTCCATGTTGCATTTGCACAAATACCATCGTCGGGTATTGGAGATACACCTGTCCAATAAAGACAAAAATAATCTTATTATTAATTAATTAATTAATTAAATATAAATACTTGTTGCAGGTATTAATGGACATATTGCATGAGTTGCCATTTTCATAGGATAGCATAATGGACGGTATTGGCATCGAGGGTGATTCACACAAATATATCCTGGTTGATAACATGTTTTATTATCTTGAGCACATGATGATAATTCAGAACAACTGATATATAAATATGCACAAACAGAAATATTATTATTATAACTGAGAGAAAGACAACCACATCCAGTATTTAATGAACATTTTCCATATGGTAAACTATTATCACATATTTCTTCACCATCAATGCGATCTAATATTGAAAGTTTCAAAATTATTAATCAGTTAATAAAATTTTTAAAAAATTGACTCACTTAATAAACTAAAACTAATCAAAAAGAAAAGCAGATAAGTTGCCCACATCATTTTCATTTTTTACTATAGTCATTCTGTTTCAATTATATTAAGAATGAGAAGAAAAAACATCTGTTAAGTCATTATGACAATGCAGTTCTTATCTGTCTAAAACGTTGTGCAATATGTAATCTTTACCTCATGTATCAGACAATCACACATGAATTTGCTGTACTATGAAGCTGAATTTGATTTTTGTTAAAATATAGTGTCGAATGTGTGTTTTTATTCATCTAAAAATATATCATATTGGAAAAATGTCCTCTCTATCTGTTCAAGGTCAACAAGAAGTGTTTATTTTTATATTAGTCATTTCTCTATAGTATTCATCTTCATGATTCTTGAATATACAAATCTATTCCATTAATGCATGGGTGTGGGTGTGGGTGTGGGTGCGGGTGTGGATGTGGGTGTGGGTTGTGGGTTGTGGGTGTGAGTATGGGTATGGGTGTGGGTGTGGGTGTGGGTGTGGGTTGTGGATTGTGGGTGTGGGTATGGGTGTAGGTGTGGGTGTGGGTGTGAGTGTGAATCTTCTTTCACAAGATACCCACACCCACATCCACACTCTCATTGATTGACTTATTTGCGTTCAAACCCGAATAGTTGCTCTTGTTGATGCACTTGTTTTCGTTCAAATCGAAGTTGTTGCTCTTCTTTATCGACTTGTTTTCATTCAAACAAGAGTAGTTGGTGTTGTTGATCGACTTGTTTTCGTTCAAACAGGAGTTGTTACTATTGTTGATTGACTTGTTTTCGTTCAAACGTGAGCAGTTACTCTTGTTGATTCACTTGTTTTCATTGAAACCGGAGTTGTTACTCCTGTTCATCGACTTGTTTTCATTCAAACAGGAGGTGCTGTTATTGTTGATGTTCTTATTTTCGTTCAAACAGGAGTTGTTGCCCTTGTTGATTGACTTGTTTTCGTTCAAAACCGAGTAGTTACTCTTAGTGATTGACTTGTTTTCGTTCAAGGAGGATGTGTTACCGTTGTTGATGTGGTTGTTTTCGTTGCAAAAAGGGTAGTTACTCTTGCTGATCGACTTGTATTCGTTCAAATGGGTGTTGCTACTGTTGTTGATATTCTTGTTTTTGTTCAAACAGGGATTGTTACTCTTATTGATCGAGTTGTTTTTGGTCGAATGTGAGGTGTTACTGGTTTTGATCTTGTTGTTTTAGTTCAAACAGGAGTAGTTACTGTTGTTGATTGATTTGTTTTCGTTCAAACAAGAGTTGTTACTTTTGATGATGTTCTCGTGTTCGCTGGAACAGGTGTTGTTACTCTTGTTGATCTTCGTGTTTTCACACATAGACGAGTTGTTTCTCTGGTTGAACCAGTTGTTTTTGTTTGAGGGGAAGTTGTTACTTGTGATGAACGTTTGGTTTTCAGTCGAAGATGTGTTGTTACTTTTGTGGTACTTGTTATTTACGTGCGAATAGATGTTGTTGTTCTTGATACTGCTGATGTTTATAATTAAGCGTTGCGTTGGTTAATTAATGGATGTTTTTTCATATTTTTTTTGTGGGATGTATTAATTCGTGTGCGTGTTACATATTGTTTGATGTGGGACGACTAATTTAGAATAGATCAATTAGTGGTTTGTGTGGAGTGAAATTGTTTGTTCATTTCATAACTAACCGTCAATCAGTAGCTTTTCGTCGTCGTGTATTGAAATTTTGCTTCATTTATTGTATTTTCTTGTTTGTTTTTGTTTTTTCTGTGTTTTTCTATTAGTTTTTCTGTACTTAGTGTTTTTGTTATTATTCTTTTTTGTTTTTCTTCTGTGTTTTTCCATTAGTTTTTCTGTACTTAGTGTTTTTGTTATTTTTTTTTGTTTTTTCTTCTAAACTTTGAATGGCTGGGTCTGATACATCGATTTTATTATATGATACAATAACAGGACGATTTACTAAGTATGGGCGCAGCCATTTACGTTCGTTTTGTGCTCATACACCTTATCCAAGTGCTAATCAGTTGAAGGAAATTGCTGAAGAAACAGGTTGTCCAATGTTAAAATTACGAGTAAATAAAATTCTTTTTCATACTTATGCAACTATTGTTTTCGATTTTCAGACTAAATTGAACAATATGCGAGCGTATGACAACTATAAAGTGAAACACGCGGCGAATTTCTGTGACCAACCCAAGTGTATACAACCCTTACTTTCGCAGTCATCTCCTGTACAAATAAACGAATTGTCAATACCAATTCAATTCCTTAACAGCATTTCAACAGCTTAAGCTATTGCCATCAGAGATCAAATTTTGTCCAAGCCTTTACACGAGTGGCTCATTAATCCTAAACATGTTGATGAAGAGGTCAAACCAGAAGAAATTAGCACTTTCACGAGTGTAACATCAAAAGATGGTAAGTGAGTTTATAACTGTTTTATTTAATGTATGCGTTATTCTTCATAGGAAAATTTTTCGACGACTGGATGTCCTGCCACATCGCTGCTGCCAATCTTCAACATCCGCCAACTCTTTATCCCACAACAAAATTGATAGCTCGCGGCACTTCCAGCAAATGTCTGGAACCAAATATCAAAGATTTTTTTGCAGAAAAACAAAATAAAACGTGTGAGTGTGTTAAATCATCATGTCGCTCTTCGCGCAAAATTACCACAACTTCCTCCCCTCTCGAACGTATCAGAGAAATACAGTAAGAAGTATCTGCTTTTAATAATTTAATCTTTCTTATCTTTAGCAGCCTCTCATCTGTGCGACACGAAATGCTGTTTACGAGATGAACATCTGGTACTTGAAAGCGTCGCCACCAATTATAGGCGAATACGCTGTCCAGGTGTTATTTTGTCCTTAAAATCACAAGGTCTATCAAGAACGAAGCAAATTATACAATATGAACCCTGTCCACATGGCATCAATCAGGATGTGGTGTGTGGGTGTCTGGATGAGAAAAAGATCCACACCCACTTTCACATCTAAACCCACCCACCCACACCGACACCCACACCCATACCCCACCAAGTTATCACCCGAGAATCTATTTTTACATACGATTGCCCAATGCTGAGAAAGATTTTACTTCACAGATGAATCACCATTTATGTACCTTATATAGTCAATTGCAGTATAGCTGGTTGAAGCAAAAGAAAAGAAAGACACACAAGTTTTCAATAGTTTTATGATAATCGACAGATGTGGATAGACGTTTTAGATGAAAGATTCATGCTTTTTTGGTATAAGAAGAAAAAGGAAGGAAGAGACTTAGCAAGATGACATGAGATAAGAACATAAAATAAATTTTATTGCTCATATGGAACGTCAATAAAAAAGAAACACATAAGAAAAATATTTTTATGCAGACCGCTCGAGTTTCAGTGTTTGATGACTAAACGAAATTCTTTAACTTGAATTTATATGACAGCGATAAGCTACAAGCGTCCTCCTACAAGAAACAGTTACTCTTTCAATGGATTCTTTTTTTTGCATCCTTTGTGATTACATCTTCACTTAGGGTATGGGTGTGCATGAGTTTGAGTCAAGAGAGGAGAAGAATTCGCACTCACGCCTAAATCCTGACAGAACTAATACAGTTAAGAATAAATGAGGCGGCAATGCACCTTACATTGATCATATGAAGAGGCATATCTTATAAGATTACCTCAGAAAAGAGTAAAAATGCAGTTCTCACGAAGAAAACAAATGCTTCCCCAATGGTCGGAAATGTTAAAAGTACGATTCGACGCGAATTACAGGATTTTTTACCGCAGCGTTTACTGCCGTTGTAAATATTTACTATTTTAGATAATTTTTCATATAAATTAAATTTAAAAAAAGTATTTGTAAACAAACTACTGTTCAAATAATCATTGTTTTAAAAATAAATAATCATTGAAATTTTAAAGAAACAAAATCTTTGTTTTATTTCTCTAATTATTCTCATTTTTTCAATGCCGAAACATTGGGACATTGAATGATTCATAGAGATTTTTAAAAAAATGATCATTTTTAGATTATCTAAATTTTTTCAATGATTTTTTCCAACGTCAGGACATGAGGACATTGAATGATTGAAGAAATTTATAGAAACATTTTTTTTCTGTATGAACTGGATATTTTCGATTTCTTTGTTTTTGACGATACAAATATTTTTAAAATCAGTCAAATGAATAAAGATCAATAAATCTATCTCCGACCAAAAAAAGAAGGAATCTGAGGGATGTTTATTCTAATGTTTTTTCTCATAAATCTTTTGAATCTTGATGTAACTAGTATAAAATATAATTTCCATATCAAAAAACTCTATTGTTTAATTTAGCAAGAAAATCAATTAACTCAATTAATAATGGATCATTATTTTTGTTTTATTTTTTAGAGTTTTTTATAGAAAACAAAGTGCACCTTGTTAATTTTATTTATGGCAGTAAATCTTCCATTTGATTCGGGAAGCTGATAGATCTAGAAGCAATTACAGCAACATATAGTCGCGATTAGCAACTTTATAAAAACGCATAGAAGATACAGAGACAAGTATTGACCCATTTCTTTCCTTATCTTACATTGAGTAGAGTTGCAATAACGAACTTTGGACATGCAACAATAAAAACACAATAAAGTGCTCAAGTTATGCAATAATGTGAAGTAGAAATCATGCCATCAACACGAAGGTCTGCATGCACCAAGCAAAGGAGATCATTCTTTCTGTGTATGATAGCCATTCATTTTTACTGAAGCAAGTGCACTGAATAAAAAGAAGCATAGAATAATAAACCCTAGAAATGGATTTATGAGCCTCATCAATATTATATCCAATACGAAGCTTTCATAAACTCTCAACGAATTTATTATCTTGCCAACTATGGAAGTGTATATAACAATTGCAATGCAGACTAAATCCTCAGTGGCTTTAAGAAATTGATATATATTCAAAAAAGGTTTATGCAAACATAATGTAAGATTTATTATCCTTCTTTTTTTTATCGCATGACATTGATATGCACTAAAACTATTACACTGGGTTTTTTCATATTATTAGAGCATGTTCAGTTCAGAACTAAAATGAGATGACCACTAGTTAACTTGATAGAAATATAGAACAAGTTCTGGTCTACAAATCAGACATCTCACAAGTCTGTATGATAATTGGTTCGAAATGTGTAAGGAATGTTTTAGATATTAAAAACCAGAACTAGTTTCGATTTTCATAATTGCAGAAGACATAAAATTCCCAATATTCATTATACAATATTGACAGATATCTTATTTTGTGAGCCAGCACTTTATATTTCTGGTACTTTAATCGGAATACACGATGTCTCTTCTTCTATCTCTTATAAGACGGAAAACTCACCCTATTGGTTTTAGTGCGTGCCTACATAAGATCCTACGAAAATAACTTTCTTCAATTCTCCTTTCCCATCACTGCTATCACGAAAAGAAATTGTTCCCGCAAGATTCTAATGCTTAGTGTGGCACAAATGCATTTACTATATGAATTTTCATTGTGAAGAAAGTGCTGCTCATATTAGAATTTTGTGTATCACTCTCTGTAACAGTCTGAAAGTAAAAGTGAAGGTTAGTGGAAATGAAGAAAAGAACATCATCCACTCTCAAGATAGTTGCTTCGTCTTATTTATGAATATATTAAAAGAATAAGTTATATACGATTCGAAAGAGAAGAAAAAGCTCTATCTTCTGGTAAAAAAGAACATTTCTTCCAGTACCCTTCGATCAAAGAGAAATAGAGGTCAACATTTGTTCAGTTACTTTTGCATCATACGTTATCTTTTGTTTACTTCGACTATCGACAATGACGAGGTAGACTGGCTGTGATCACGTCACTTAACCGCCAACGTTTTGTAATGGATTTTATATAATTGATTTTGATATTGACAGACGTATCTATGGCTACGGATTGTGCACTCATCATCGTCACCATTCCTAACGATCAACAAAATGAGGTTCATGAGCAAAAAACAGTGGTAGAAATTTATTTGTTACTCTGAGCATATTTCTCAGTATCCTGTCTCTTCTTTGATTAGAACGATACACTACCCTCACCCTGCGCCAAATTGAAGGCCTATCTGGACGAGAAGATAAATGAAGAACTGGTGTGGATACCCTCTATCGATCAGAAAATGTTACAAGTCACATTTCATGTTGAATTGGGCGTCGAAAGTGATCAAATATTATACGATTTGCACATGCTCGATATTAACAAGAAAAATGGCTGTCAAGTGTGCGTGGTTCCTGCTACGGTGATTGTTGGCTTTCGAGATCGGGTGCAAAGTACCTATCTTGATGCGAGTATGAAGAATGACTCAAGTGACACGAGTCAACTGGGTATGTCTCAAAGAAAATCATCCACAAGTACACTGTTACGAAATCGAATTTATAAGCATATCAATGTGTCGAATTTCAAGAAAAGTGTTCGTGCTCGACTAATGGTACACCAAGTAGTAGCTGGTATTCGAACTACTACAGCATTATCGTTCGATTTTATCGTTCTACTTAGTCTTGCTTCGATGCTTGCTGCCTTCGGCCTCTTGGAGAATTCATCAGTAATAATTGTGGCCAGTATGTTGGTCAGTCCTCTGATGAATCCGATCATGGGCATTGTTTTTGGTCTATCGGTGCGTGAGCATTCATTGTGGCGACGTGGTATTCAAAATGAGCTGATCGGTCTGACTCTGTGCATCTTGTGGGGTTTTATTATCGGGTGAGTAAGAAGTAAGAGTAAAAACGATCGTGCTTTTGTCGATCAATAGGTTGTGCACTACACACGCGGAGATAAATTGGGGAAGTTCTACCAGTTTTCCAACACCAGAAATAAAGACTCGTGGTGACATCAAACGATTATGGACTGGTGTTTTGATTGCCTTGCCTAGTGGTGCGGGCGTTGCTTTGTCAGTGCTCGGTGGTAACACAGGTGAGACAAGACTTTACTATATTTCGATAAGTGTTCTTTTTCTCAACCTTAGGTTCATTGGTCGGTGTGGCCATATCCGGTAGGTAAATCTTTCTTTCCACGGTCCTACTTGTTCATTGACTTTGTATAGCTTCACTTTTACCACCTGCCGTCAATTGTGGTCTCCTTTGGGCATATGCAGCATTGGCTCAGACAGCTATCGATGGTGTTTGGGGCTATGTGACCGACGGATCGAGTACACAAACCAATGTGGAATATTTTCTGTTTCAACATCGTCTACTTTCAAATGCACCGATCGTCAATTGTTCCAAGCCTATTGGCAATGCTTATTCACCATACTATTCATGTAATATGGCTCGAGAAGCAGCGATTCTCGGCAGTTGTAGTCTTCTTTTGACTGTAGTGAATATAGTGTGCATCATTATCATGGCTTTGATTGTTCTTCGTATTAAAGAAGTAGTACCGTTAAATCAAGCTAATGAAGCCATCCAAACATTCTTTCATCATGATGTCAAAGTAGCTCGTGATTATAATCGAACAATTCATGAGAACGAATCTAGTCCTGGAGTGAACTTCGCAACATCAAAACAGAACATCAATGTCTTTTCTAAACCCATAGACGAGAATTGGAAAGGACTTGCATCATTTAGCAAAGATGGGCATCCTCAATTGATGAACAGAATTCAAACGGACTCCACATATTATTCGACGACCCTTGCCGATATGAATAATTTGCAAATGTATGCAAAAGACTTTGATCTCGATGTTTTCACTGAGAATGATCGCGAACTACTGACACCTGAGAGCGAAGAAAAAGTCTTTTGTTTAGTCAAGAGTCTTCTGGACATGTACGAAGAGGATCCACAGACATTTGTAGACTATTGTCGTTATCAACCCTACGGAGCCCAAACATCAGCACAAAAAGAACATTTCATTTTCTATGAACATCTCATTGCACTTCTGCCACCAAAATGGTACGATTTATTCAATCGTGAACGACGTCGACGTCTAGATATCACCCAATCCGGCAGACGACGATCAAATTCGTTCACTGCCCCTGCTGGTCCACTTGTAAATCCTTCTCGATTAAATCAGTCACTCAATGAAAAAAATCATAGATTAAGATTGGTTCGACTTTCAAAGAAAGAATTTGAGTCAAGTCACAATCATCCATCGATTCATGTTGATGAACGAGCAATAGAATCCGATGAGACGCTTCAAAATAACATGGAACAGACTCAAGCAAGATAAGAATGGCTTGATAAGTTCCTCCAATCGACATAAACATGAACGTTTCTTAACATTTCTCTTCTATTCATTGTTATTCTTGCTCCTTGTATTCTTCGTCATATCATAATAAATTTCTCTTTAGAAAGGACGGTTTAATTGGAACTTAATCATCAAAGCACAAAGCATTGAAAATCTTTGTTTTTTTGCAGACAGTAGCTTCATGAAATATCTGTAAACTTGATACATCCATCAATTACCGGCATTGATTGTTCTGATCTGATAGATGTTTTGGATATCAATATTTCTTTTAGCTAGCCTTCGTTCCCTTTTGAGTACGCGATTATCTTTCAACAAAAAATGGAAATTTTCAAAACCTCTCTAGAAGATGATAGTCTTTGAAGTAATCTACAATACACAACTTCACATCATATTCAATATATTAATATGAAGTATCTCTTCGTGACTTAGCTCTTTTCATAGTACGAGAATAAAGTGAAAATTGGTCAATTGGAAGGTGTGGATGTGGGTATTGAACTACTCATCATTAATATCCACACCCTTGTTCGAGAGTTCTTTCAGATTGTGACAAGTTTTGGTGAATCTTAGTTCACCCCGGTCAATTTTCTAATGAATTCATAGAGATACTTTAACGTCTATTAAAATTCATTAGAATCCATCAGAATCTGCTTTTCCTTCGCTAAGTTCGATAATCTACCTTTTCATAAAATCCTATATAAATTATTGGATGTATGATGAAAGTTAATCGAGAAAAAAGATTCGATTTAAATGCTATTAATGGCAAGAATTGTATAACATTGTAACCAAGTTTATTATTCTCTTCTTTTATCTTTATAAAGACTTGATTATATAAGAGACATTGTAGAGTTAGAATGTTTTTTATTTTATACCTCGAGATACATATTCTCAATGTAATCAAGGGACATTTTATATGAAACACAATAAGTCTAAAAGATGAATGTATAACTGGAAAATTTCGAAATAGAACTGTGAAACGTTTTCAAAGAAATAAATACGATATAGATGATTACTCGATGAAGTTTTCAACATGTTAATCTGTTTTATCTTACTACCAACGACAAAATACTTGCTAATCGTACTTTTGATGGATATTTTCAAAGATAGTACACTACTTGACAAAAGTATTCCTCCCCCCCCCCCCTCGGATCTCAGCCCGTACAAGAGCTGAGCGGCTGAAAATCGCTGTGCAGGTAGCTCGCAAAGATTGCAGGTCAACGGCATCATGTACACCACAGTTGCTCGAGTAAGAATGGGAATCTAATGGATGGCATTGGTATGCATCGTGAGCTTGATAACTCGAGAAAGGCAAGATATTTTGAGTCGGTCAATCCTTCATTTTGGAGCTCTACCTAGTAACTATTTGTTCTAAAAATTTCATTAAAGTTCATTTAATCTATTGATGAACTATGATCATTTTAGTGTAAATATTGATCTACCGAAAAAGCATATCATACCATTGAGAGATTAATAACAATTCTTATTTTCCGTTTACGATAGTTGAAAAAAAAATTGAAAATAAGCCTGATCGAATAACTCTCGAAGCCATCGAAACAATACTATTGCTTATTAAAAAATCATAGTTATCAAAGAGACATTGCTTTACCAAAAAACAAACATTCACTTTTATAATAAAACATTTCAGAAGAAAGAAATCGTGTATGATCCGAAAACCTATTCATCTTTATTTGATATCATTCATCAATACTTCGTTATTCGAAAATATCTTCATATCAAATTCATCTTAATTATAACACCATCTATCATGTCAATATTTTAATTGGTTAATTTTGAAAAATGAATAAACAGATATCAGACTTACTGAAGAAGAAAAAAAAAGAAAAATTCATATTGAAATTTATATAATCATGAATATAGATTAAATAATGAAAATTTTATTTTTAGATGTCGGATCCAATTGATGATATAAAAGTATTTTTTTCAACAGCAAAAACATTAAAAGCAAAAGGAAAAGTAATTCATATGAATTTTTATTCAATATTTTCAATTATCTTTTTCTTATATTCATTAGGATTTTCTTCAACTTTATAAACAAATAACAGATTATAAAAAAACAAATAAACAACGATCTGAAAAACTTAATGAACCTATTATTAAATTTGTTCAATTTTCATGTGAATTGGCCAGGTTGACTTTTTTAAAATTATCTTTCGATTCTAGAAAATCAAAAACAATCTGAGTCTTTTTTTATATCAATCTAGTAATCCAGAATATAGTTCAATTTGGCAATCACTCATTGATATTACATCAGATATTGTCAATTCATATGGTTCATTACATTCCGGTACTGATCCACATACATTCGACGTTTTTTTCAAACCATTACTTCAGGTAAAATCGTTATATCGAAAACAAAAAAACTTATTTGTATTGCCAGATAAATCTTCAATACATAATTTCTTTTCTCGCTTCTTCTCAGTTCTGGTTGCTAGAGCCAGAAACGAATCGCAAAAATCTCGGTTTAAACTTACACCCACTGGTTATTTCGAAAATATATGTGAGTTCCACAAAAATTAGTCCATTTGAATGAACCGAAGCGGACATATTTCAATTTATTATTTATAGTTTCTACTCATTCCTTGAATTCATAACATAAAAAATTTTATCATATCTACAAAGCATTGCAAGTTATAGATCATCTATCACGTTCCTGGGTTTTTTTGGCTCGTATAGGGTACTTCAAAAATTACTTGGTCGTTTTTGCTTGCGAATAACTTTTGACAGGAACA